GATCACAGTTATTTACAATGGCAGAAACAGGCTTCAGGTAAAAATCCAGAATGCTTGCTTTGTAACGTATGATCACTCAGCTGTTGAATGTTTTTAAGACATCGTTCGCGTCTAGCTTTCAGAAGGCATTTTGAGCACTGGCGTGAGATCCCCCTTTAGTCATGGAACAAGAAGTAAGCGTTTGCCTAAAGAAAGACCTAAACTTAACTCTGAGTTGATGAATTTGAAGGTGACTTTGAGGTTTGGCTACGAGTGTTTTCTTTTCTCCCATGGTGTGTGCAGCGCCAGGGAAGGTATGCAACAGGTGTGGCCTGGCGTGGGTGACAAGAGGTGGCCAAAGGGCGAGGGGATGAGAAGGTGGCAGCTGGAGGCATCGCGCACCGGCTGACTCGCGAGGAACTGCTCCGTGAAGAGCAGTTTCCCATAATGCACCGGCTTCCTGCGGTAGGTTCCAGAGCTGGCCCCGTTGCACTATGAAATGATCCGGTCAATCTCCTATTAAACTGTCTCATTAGCAATCAGTGAGGCATAACTGACAACTCCTACCATTGTAAAGGAAATGTCACTGGAATGTTCTTTACAAGGGCCAAATTTTGTTTTCTGACAACAGTAGTAAGACATGAAGACCCTCTCGCCTGGAACGGACTGAATGAATGGTAAATGAAATGCGTTAAACAATATCTAAAGTCAGGCCTTTAAGAGGTTTAACTGCACCGGTGACAAGCCAGTCCCTAATATGGTTGGCCCTATGGTTTCCAGTTGAAGATTTTTTACACCCATCCCCCCGCCTTACACACACATCCCTGCCAAAGAACAAACAAAACCCTGGAGCGAAGCAAAACTAACCCGCTGGCGGCTTTTTCTTTCTATTGGAAGTCATGCAAAATGAGTCGCTGTAATTTGATCATCGCACTGTAACTTTTCATTGCGTCCGTAACCAGTTAGACTAAGCAGATCGGGTGTTGGCAGCCTTTTCCTCTATGTAGAACAGAAGGGGCATCTTTCGAGGACTTGGACAGCATAGCGGGACGGCCCCACAGAGACAGGCACAGTCACTCCCGGAGAAAGACGCCGCCCCCGCCCCGACTCGCCCCCAGGCTCTGTGGCACATAAGCGCCTTTGCAGACGAGATTACAGCAATTTATACCCAGGCACCCAGCCTAATCCCCAGAGCGGGCACGGTGCAGGTGTAGGAGGGCTGGCCCAGCTTCCCTGGTGACAAGAACGCAGAGGGGAGACTCTGGAAGCCTAGAGCCAGGGCAGAGCCCCTTAGCAGCCACACACAGTCCCATAGGCTTGTCACCTCCCTGGAGGATGAGCCTTGGAAGGCAAGAGACCCAGTATCAGGACACGCCTCTGAACGCCCACCTTAACCTAACGTTGTCCTCAGTAGGCAGGGCACGGGAGCTGGGCTTCCCAGCACATTTTACTGCGGACACACAGGGGTAAACAGAAGAGCTGCAGGGGTGCCTGCACCCCCAGGGCACAGGGTGGAAGCAAAACGTGGCTGCCATTTAGCTCGGTCACACGTCCTGACAAGTGGTGTGAGCTGTCCCAGCCTGGTCCGGGCACAGGCATGTACTGGCGGCCTCCCCACATCAGGGCACAGAAGGATGGTCCACGGAGTGGGGCTCAGGCTTCGTGAAATAGGATGTGGTTGGGGGGCTGGGCAGGAAGGACAGGCTTTGTCTACAGAGACTAAGAACTCCATCGGCTGGACGGATGGGGCTCCTGCGGACTAGGGGACGCATGAAACTAGGGGTTTCAGAGGATCAGGGCTACTTTTGTGCCCTGGGCTGGGGGAGGGGGCAGTGGCAACCTCTACTTCTCTCTGGGCTCAGCACTCGGTGAACGGGGGCCCACGTCCCTCGCTCCCGGTGTCTACTCTGCTGCCAAGAGATTGTCACGTGGCCTCTCCCTCCTGACCTGCGGCCCCGTCTCCCAGCAGGTGCGCCCTGGAATGGCTACGGTCCCTGTGCAGCTACATCTCACACTGGCCCAGAGTGACAAGTGCTGGGACGGGGACCCTGCCACCCAGAAGGGGTGCAGATCCGCGTAGGGCTCCCACACATGCAGCCACAATGCCTGCCGCGCCCCTCCCCGCCCTCTGGAAAAAAACCCACCAAGCCATCAGGAACGCAGGTCCACTTTTGTCGCACAGCCAGGGGCTGGCACAGGTCCACATGCCCAAGCGAGCACGTGGTTGCCTCCCATTTGTGCAAGATAAAAATGTAATCAGCGCTAGCCTATACACAGGTCACCCCCCGTAGCCCCAAGAGCGGTTCTCCGCAGCTGAGGGCTCAGAGCTTGCAGTAAAGACAGAGGAGGTTCCAGCTCATGCCTTTTTGCCTAGTGATCGCTTCCCCTCGCTCAACCATCTTCACGCATTCGTCTTGATTTTTAAGTCCTGCTAACAGGAGCCATCTGGTTTGTGGCGTTATGCACCATTTCATTCTCTTAATCCTCTTCTGTGTTTAAAATAAAGTAATGCACGCTAAGACAAAGTGTAAAGCAACCAATGAAACAAAGAGGTGTATACTAGAAAGCATTCCGAATTTAAGGGAAGGAATGAATTACTTCCGGGTCATGAGCATGGGGCCCGCAGTGATGGGCAGACAGGACAGGAGGCCTTCCATCAGGAGAGTACAGGGTGGGGGGCAACGAGACACAAGGCCCAACCTATGGGGTGCCGCCAGCGTGCCAAGAACTTGTCTGCCCTCAAGGGGATCCCCGGAGGGAAACTGTATCCCATAACCGCAGAATTCAGTCTTGACCTTTTGGGACGGTCAGCAAGAGCAAGCACCTTCCAAACGGCGGCAGAGGGAACCAGGAAGAGAGTGGTTGACCCATTTTCTGGAAGGACCGGTGCACGTAAAAGCAGCAGTGGGAAAACAGCAAGTCACAAAAACTGCAGGAACCAAGATCACATCTGATGGCCCTTTCAAGGGTCGTGTTTTTGAAGCGAGCCCAGCTGATGGGCGGAAGGATGACCGTGCTCTTAAGAAATTCAGGCTAGTGAGCAAGGCTGTTCAGGGCAAAAGCGGCCTACTTCCAGGGCATGGATCTTACCCATGGTCAGAAACGGCGGACCGTAATCGAAGGTCATGTTGATGTCAGACTAGTGACAGTAATTCACTTCATCTAGCCTGTGGTGGTTTTACTAAAGGAAAAAAAAAAAAAAAAAAAGCAATAATCGAATTTGGAAAACCCCTTTGCTCAACATCCACAGGTCCGCCAAATCTGGAAGCTGATGGAAAACATGACCTGAGAGGTACAAAGGAATCGTTTGAAAGAAATGGTCAATAAATTGATTCCAGACATAGAGAAAGCCTGCCAGTCTACTTCTCTGCTCCATGATGTCTTTGTTAGAAGAGTCAAAATGCTGAATGAAGAGGTCCAAGTCTGAACTGGGGAAACTCATGGAGCTTCGCGGACAAGGCTGCGGTTCGGGAAATACTGCCGGGGACAAGGCACGTGCTGAAGCTGAACGCGCTGATGGATATGAGCCCCCCCAGCCGAAGAATCTGTTTACATTTCAGACTTTTAACGGTGACAAATGAAAAATCCTATTGGGGGGGGTTCAGCCCAACGTTTCACATCTACACGGGAAGGGCGTGGGAAGGTATCAGAGCAGTGAGGAGTGTCCGCTGCTCCCAGAGCACAGGTCTAGTGGCCCAGGGGACTGGCGTGGGGACAGACAGAGGGCACAGCAGGCGAGACACACGTTCCCACAACCTGAGTCCAGTTTGGCTGGAGGCGGTGACTGAAACTGCTGATTTGGAGGGGCGCTTTAGGAAGAGGGACCCCGGCAGCCAGACCTGTAGTGGCCGGGAAGAGCGTGAACCAGGAGTCCAGTGGGCATACAGTCCAGGTCAGAGACGGCCGGGGTCGGGGCTGGGACAGGGTCCGAGAGCACTTCTGGACACCGGACCTTGATGAAGCGAGGGTCGCGCCTCCAAAAGCACCAACAGAGAGGAGAAACAGACTCGAGCAGGAGTGGGAAGAGGGAAGGAGATGGCGCATCTTAACCAAGTGACACCAAGACGCCGGAAGGACATGTAAGCTCGATAAAGCCGTTGCACCATGTCCCAAATCCCTCTAGTTTGCTAGTATGATGGAATTTACATCACTTTGTTATTAAGATATATACTGCGCTCTTCCTTACTGAAGAATAGAAACGTCTCTGCTTTTTGCTCAAGGAAAAACTCAACACGCCCAGAAAGTAAACGGCAATTACGTGGCATGGCGGCATTTCCTTCTGTGGGCACAGTGTCATTATACTGGGTCTTGGCTGTCACTACCCGGAAGTACCTGTCCTGGGAGTGTGTCACATCCACAAAGCTTGCTACCTTGCCATCAAACACCTGGCCCTTTTCTTTTTTTTTTAAAATTCTTGGACGACACAGCAATTGTATGCAATTTATCCTGTAGCTGCATCCATCCTAAAACCCTGAACGCGTTCGTGACCCAGCGTTCCTTCAGCACTTGGTCAAATGCGGGTTCCAACAGGCCCAGGACGCCCGCTCCGGGGCCAGGAAGGTGCATTCGCTCCACGGAGCTGGGGGCCGGGGGCCGGGGGAAGGGAGGGGTCTGGTTGGAAGACCCCCGTTCTAAAGAATACAGATTCACTAAAGGACGAACCAAGACAAGACCATTCCAGGAGAAAACGGGGAAAGAAGCCCTCGGAGGTCGGGGTCGTTTCACTCCCAAACGGCAGCCCCCACAAACATTCCCCTCCAATAAACTGAAAAACCTGGTGACTCCGTGTTTAAGTTGTTTTATTCTCCAAACGCAACGCAACGAACTCTTCGGCTAAAACAGGAGGCACGAGACAAAACGGCTCTGAAGAGTCCGATTGAAAAATACTGTTCACTGGTTTATTTTTCCAAAGGAGCAACAGGCTATTTACAAAGGAGCAGATCTCCAATGACGGATATTAAAATGGCAAGTCTGTGACGGTTTGAAATCTAAGTGAAAAAACAAATTTATTAAGGCACATTTGATCCGTGAATTTAAAACAAACTTTCTGGTATAATGAAAGATCCATCTCATTTTTGTCCCTAAAGCACGTGAGCACCAAAATTGTCGAAGAACACTTAATATTTAGTAAAACAGTAAGGAATGTAGGAAGGAGGGAGGGGGGGCATTTTCAAAGGGAAATCTTTGGAGATCAGTTTACTGCAAACAAAAAAACACCGAACACACTCCCGATACACATAAATACTAACTAACAGGTACTTGAGAAATGGCAGCTCTCTAAACAATGAATATTAAATAAATTAAAGGTATTTCAGATACAAAGGATAAAACAAACGGTGATTAAAGAATGAAAGGGCTGTCCCCGCCAAGGTAACACAGGATGAAGAGAACAAAAGCAAGTATATTTTTTCCCAATACTTTCATCGGAGGGGGAGGGGGGGTTGTTTTTGCTTTAGTTTGCATACATTAGATTTATTACCTTAATTCTTTGCCATTCTAAAGATTAATATTGTATCCTTTAAAGAGAAGGGGTGGGAAGGAAAGTATCAAATCCTTCTTGGAACGGAATGCCAGGTCCATGTGGGCCACACGAATACAAGAACGGCCACATTATTTTATTGTGTCTTCCTTGCTCCTTTCGCTTGTCAAACCCTACGTGACCACAATGGGCACAAGAAAACACTTTGGAAAGCTCTCCTGAAGAGGATGATTCAACTGTTATCACATTTCCTTATTTTACAACCGGAACGCAAAATGGCTTTAAAAAAAAAAAATCATTGTAAAAAAGACAAAAGGTAGAAACTGTGCATCGTTAACAGTTAAAACAAAACACTGAGCAGAGCTACAGTGCTTTGTTACAATAATACTTTGCAGGAATTCAGGTTTTCTGCCCTAGGACTGTAGCAAAGGGGTCTGGAAAAGAAATATAACACTAAACAAAAGTTTCGCTCATCACGTACATTTCAAGCCACAAGGAAGCAGGTCTGCTACAAAACGTTCAGGAAGAACATGTGTTCAAAGGCAAACATGATCACGTTATTGTTCCAAAAGCTCATCCTGGAAGGAGTCCTTTGTAAGAAAGTCACGTGTAAAATATATCCTTGTGTGGACGTCAAAAACTGATCGTACAAAAAAATTTCTGAAAAATAAATTAGATAATTAAAAACGTCTTTTCCAGCGGAGCTGGACATCAGGCTGTCCTCACTGAGCCATTGTTATTGCTGCTTTTACTGTAACTTGGGTCGTTTTTCTCCAGCCACATTTCAGCCAGCTGCTGTGTGGACCCGTAGGTTGAGGCTTTGGACCCCAAGCACATTTTGTACTGCTTGGGATCCAGGTTGGGATCACAGAAGACTGGATGGTGGATGTGGACAACGCCCACTTCCTGGCTCCTGAATGTCTTCAGACCGGCCTGAACCACCTTGTTGAAGAGGTCCACGTCTTCCAGCCCCCAGCCCTGGATGGAGACGTCAAAGCCGCCGACACGGACGAGGTCTCCCTTGTAAATACAAGTGATGCCAAACCCATAGTTTCTCCAGAAGCCAGTTTTTTGAGTAAAGGCAAAATGGTTGTCACTGGGAGCTTTCCCGCTATAAACAATCTTTGGATCGTACTGGCTGAAGATGATTGGAAAATATATTTGTTGGCCCAGAACGGTATTTGCCCGGCATCGTTGGAGGAATTCGGCAGTAAACACGAGGTCGACGTCACAGAAGAAGAGCAGAGACTCGTTGTTAAACTGAGAGGATCCCACTTCCAGGGCCAGGGCTCTGGAAAACTCTCCCGACACGGGAAGAATCTGCATGTCGGCTTTCGGGTACTTGATGCGGTAATCGCGCATGAGCTCGACCTGCTTGGCCTTGTCGGGGTTGGAGTCGGAATTGAACAGCAGGACGACCAGCTTGACGTTCTGATTCGGAATGAGGCACGTCTTCTCGAAGTTCCCCATGAACCTCACGAACATGTCAAAGCGTCCCGACAAGGGGATCAAGATGTTGATCTTCTTCTCTTTGGGTTCTCTGCGCTCGCTCCGGGAGCCAGGGAGCTGGAAGCGGACGAGCTTCTTCAGGGAGTTGGAGAGGAAGGACAAGGACCCCGACTCCTGGTTGATCTTGTGGGCCAGCTCCACCGCGTCCAGCTGCTCGTGCTCCACAAACTGGATCTTGCTGAAGGTCTGCTGGAGGTAGGCGTGCCTCCGCACGGGCACCGTCATCTTCTTCCCTTTGTGCTTCTTGTACAGGAGCAGCAGGTCCAGGATGTACTCGGCCCCGTACATGGGGTTCACGCGGCGGTAGCCGTACTGGATCTCCTTGAAGTCGATGATGCGCCCCCTGGTCTTGGCGTTGGCGTTGATCATCTCCATGACCTGCATGACGATGTCGTCCAAGGCCTCCCGCTGCGCGGAGTCCATCCCTCTGCGGGGGGGCTGGCCGTCCACAGCCGAATACAAGTACTTCCCCGTCAGGAACTCCCACTCCAGGATCTCCTCCCGCTGGCGGGGCTGGAACCTCATGAAGGAGGGCGGGACCCCGAGCTGCAGGTCTTCCTTGTGCGTCTCCGTGTTGCTGTACTTGCTCATCAGGACGATCTCTCGGTGCAGCTGGATGGTGCGGTGGCGGAGCTCGGCTATTTTGCGGCTGAGCACGTAGCTGTGGAGCCTGTACTGGTAGGGGGGGCTTTTGTTGGGGTGCAGCGTGATGGCGCGGTGGATTTTACTGTTGTGGAGGTCTCGAATGTACCCCTTTTTGTTCTGTTCGTAATTCTCATAGAAAAGCTGCTGCATCTGTTAGGGGAAAAAAAAAGAAGGCGTTTTTAAGTGCTACGTGACAGAGTGTCGCGCGATTTTTCTACTTCTTTGCGTACCTGCGTCCTTTAAAAAATCTAAATAGGAGAATGCTTTCTCTATGAGCCACAGCCTACCAAAGGCCCTAGGGAGAGACAGCCTGTGGCAGCCCACCGCGATTAGAAGGGTTCATAAAGAGCTGTCAACTGCGTCAAGGAGCGAGGCTTCCTCAACAACCCGGATGGGCCAGGATAATTCTGCAAGCGAAGGGGATGAGGAGGAAGCTTTCCTGTGAAGAAAGGCGCTCACGTGGAAGACCGTGGGGGGCTTGGGATGACAAGCGAATGGCACTCAATGCAAGGCGGCTTCCTTAGCCCACCCAACTCCCCCTCTGTCCTACGCTATGGGTTTGAGGGCAACAAAAGCTTGAGCTCCGTCGGCCAGGACGGTCTGCTCCCTCAAGTTAGACAGAGAATACACTTAATGGCCTGGTACGTTCAGGCAACGAGACGGCGAACATCTGTTGGACCTCTGCAAAGCCTTGCGGAATGAAGAATAAAAATGCGCAACAGATAAAGACAACATTTCAGGTTGGCATCTGATAAACTAGCAGTTTCATTTATGGCTCGGTGTTGTCTTTCCTTCTCGTTGTTAAATGCTAACCCTTGAGGGAAGTGACGTGGATTTGGACCAAGTAGTTTATTTATTTTTACCTTTGGACACGTATTTTTGACTTTTTAAAAAAAATCTGGGAGCCACTGCAATTAACATAATAACAAAAAGAATACAGGTTAGCATTTTTACATCCCAATATCGTTTTCTATACAATACTATAAGGTATCACTACATAAAGGTGGTAAAGAGTAAAAAGAAGGGACATTAAACTTCCAAAAAAATGCCTTAAAACTTTTAAAAAGAGCCTGGGCTGCCGGCCGGGTTCTGTGCGTGGGTGCACTCACTTCCCACTGAATTCTGACCTGGCTCCGAAACGAAAGGGAGAACCACCAACATTCTGGCGCCCGCCCTTCGCCCCGCCCCCTCCCCGAACACCAATCACAGAGGCCTGGTCTCCGCGCGGAGTCGCAGCACCTCTCTGATGCCGCTCCCGCTTTCAAGCCCCCACTGCCACGATCCAGATCCAGGCGCTCGCTCCCGACCACAGAGGGCAGGGTGGGCGGGCAGGCAGCCGTTTGCACACCGAGGAGCGGCTCCTCCCCGGAAGAGGACCGTGCGGACGCCCTGTCCCCGAACGTCCAGCCTGCAGTATTTTGTGGAAAGTGGATGTTGGCCGTGTAGGCTGCCCGATGCACAGGAGCGTTGCTGGAGCAGTCGGGCTGGGGGCACGCGCCTCGCACCGCATGGCAAGGAAGAGCAGAGGGTCCCCGCCTTCACCTGCCGAGCCCAGCTCGGCGCCGGACACGTCCCGAGATGCGCAACGGACAGAGGATGAATTAGTGGTAAGCAGTCGAGTCACTCCGCACAGCAAGTATCAAGCAACTGCTGGGTGACTTCGCTGCAGAGGAACACAGGGTATGAGGACCGCTGTGACAGCATGGCCTTGGAACGAACTCACAGGGCCAAGACCAGGTTCCTCAGACCAGGACACGTGGAAAATGTAGAAGTTGGCAGCACATTTTGAAGAAAAATACGTCTTCCCAGGCTTAGGAGGTAGTTGTCCTTTGTTTGTTACTCTCCAGAAGACCAAATATGTAACTGCACATTATTGTCTCCGCTATCACCACCCTCCCACCCTGCCGCACAGGGACCACGAGCTCTGATGGGCGTCCTCAGCGAAGGTACGGCCTCCGTGGGTGACTGATCTCCCAGCCGCGCCGGGATTCCGTGTCCCCAAAACATTTTCAGGATCCGTGGCTCAGAACATCTCAGAGGCTGTCTGAGGCTGCTACCTTCACCGTGACTGAAGTCTAGGCACGTTTACCCGAGACGCAGCGCGTGTGTGCTGAAGACATGAATAAGAAGAGAAAATCACTAACAGGCTCGTGGGAGCCGAAAATCCCCGGGAACCAGGACAGACCAGCGGCGTTAAACTATAGTCAAGTTCTTGTAGGCACCTTCTGGCTGAGTTCCAGAAGTCCAGCTGAAAGAAGTGTTATGTTATATTCCTTTTTTTTTTTTAAATGAAGAAATCTATTGGAAGACAAAAGTGTGTGTGTGTGTGTGTGTGTGTGTGTGTATGTGTGAGTGATAGAGCACTTACTTTATTAGAAGTAAGGCCAAGCCTATGCCCAGACTAGCTGGTGCCCCCGATCCTGCGTCACCCCGAAGCTTTTACTTAGCCCACTAACAGGGCTACAAAATAAATGTTTTAGACAAAGAAGCCGCTTGCCCGACAGGCTGGAAGGGATACATACCGGCTATGACGTAAGGAAAATCTAAACAGCAAAAAAATTTTTTTCAGTTTTTATTAAATGTATTGGGGTAACACTGATTAGTAACGTTATATAAATTTCAGGAGCCCAACTTTATAGGGCATCTGTATACTATATTCTGTACGTAACACCGAAGTCTAGTCTCCTTCCGTCTCCATGAACCTGACCCCCTTTTCCCTCTTTGTCCCCTCCCCCCCTCCCCTCGGGTAAATATATTCTGTCGTTTTATCTATGAGTTTGGCTTTTTTGGTTTCTACCTATGAATTTGGCTTTTTCCTTTGTATGCTTGTTCGCTTGCTGCTTTTTGTTTTATACCCCACATATGAGTGAAATCGTATGGTTCTTGTCCTTTTCTGACCGATTTCGCTGAGCACAATACTCTCAAGATCCATCCGGGTTGCCCCAAACGGCAGGATTTCGCCCGTTTAACGGCTGAGCAGCGTTCCACGAACACGTGTACATCTTTTAATCCAACCGTCCACCGAAGGTTGTTTCCGTGTCTGGCCATTGTGAATAACGCTGCAATGAACACTAGGGTGCACTTGTCTATACAAATAAGTGTTCTAAATTTTTTTTTTTTTTTTTTTTGGTAGATACTCAGAAGTGGAATTGCTAGATCACATGGTGGGTTCCAGTCTTAACTTTCTGAGGAATCTGCACCCTGTTTCCACAGCGACCACACCATCTTCCGATCTCGCCCACTGTGCACACGAGTTCCCTCTTTTCCCACATCCGCTCCAACGCTTGTTAGCACAGCAAAAGTTTCAATGAGGTATTCAGGCCATGTCGGGGAAGAATGATCCAGAAATCGCCTGTGGTTCATGAAAGGGAGGCAGGACGGAGATCACGGGGAAGCTGCAGCCGGGTGTCTGGCCCCCCCACCGAGTGTCCAGATCCCCCCCTCGGACCCCCCGGGCAGCCCTGGCTGTGGCCTGGGAGGGCACAGCACCCCACGGCCCGCCATTCCCGCTTCTGCCTGCACCCCCCGTCGCCCTTTCCCTCCATCTCTTCCCATCGAGTGGGTTCCGCACTTCCAGACCTCCCTGCAGCCTTGGCGGAATTGCCGGCATTGCTTTCGGGTTTGGAAGCCTTTGTAAAATTCTCAAGTTGTCTTTCTTGGTTTGTGTTTGTCTTGACGAGTTTCTGGCTTTCGCTGCTGTTACTTGGGCGTCGCCTACCTTTTGTTTTCCTTTAAAGATGCCCGCTTGACGTAAGGAGGCGTGCTGAGGGGCGAGAGGAAATTCAGCCACTTCGCTCTTAGATGCTTGAATGAGAAAGGGTTGCATCACTAAGCTGAACACCTGCATCTTCTATCTTCTGTCCCTCTTTCTGTCACATTACAGCTAACTGGTTGCTAACTACAATGTTCCTACTACGCAGGTAAGATTTAATTTCTGAACTCCAGGCAACCTCCTAGGATTCAACAGGATCGAAGTCCCTAATCCTTAGGCGGTACGATCATATGACTAAAGTAAGTGTTTAGCGATTTCCTGGTTATAAAAATGAAACTATTATTTCTCTGGAAGAAAGCTGAGAATATGACAATGTAAGAAAAATAACGGTTAAGAACTAGGACTACACAGAGACATTTATTACTTTTATGCCGATAATATGTTGTAAGACCGTGTGCAGGTCACTTGAATTTGTTGGGTCTCAAGTGTTCTGACTGATAAAATGACTGTGTTGTACTAGAGGTTCCTTCAATGTAAAGAATTCTAAGATCTTATGTGCTCCTCTTTTAGGACCAGACACATGGAATCCTAAAGACTTGCCCTAATGTGCTTCTACCCATCCATTCTGATGAGGGTGAGGTATTGTGTTACAATATTTACAGGATTCTGCCTTCACTGGGTCAAAATGTATCTGCAGCATTAAAGAGTATCAACGTATAGCCAAATGAACTGTTTCCATCCTATAAAAACAAACCTCCAAATCTGCTATAGATAAAAAATAGTTTAAGGATATGCAGTTCATAACAGCTCATTTTAAGAACTGCAGGGGTATAACAAATACATAGTTTTTTGTTATAAACGCTTTTCAATACCAAGTTTAGAATTCAAGAGGAACTTATTGTTATAAAATTATTTCAGTGATCTACACTTTGGCATATTCTTTGGAAGAAGATTACAAAATGGAAAGTTAAAAAGTACTGCAAAAGAAAACACAAATCAATGCGTAGGGCCTATTTAATAATCACACGGTTTTTCCTTGCTCAAAACACAGTGAAGATTTTCTGAGATGCACTCATGACCATGGATGGCTTCATTTAGTATCGAGTGTCCATAAAAAGGGCCCCGAGTCCTGGACTCCAGCAAAGCCACCTCCCATTCTGTGAGTCCCAGCACGGTGAGTCATTCTGGGGTAAATCTGAGAGGGGCTTATAAAAGTCAGGGTCACAATATTCCCAGGACTGTCTGGCCCAGCTGCGAGTTACCACTCACCACCCACATGTCGTTTGCCGTTAACAAATACCTTCTACGGTCTTCATTAGCAAATGTCCTTCTTGTTCCGGCAATGGAAGCCAACATTCCCATTAAGTCCTGGTTCTTCCTGGTAACTGCTTACAGTGATATCCATCATTAACTACATATTTCCGCCACATCAACAGAC